TGCCTCAAAGTCCGGAATATAGAATTTTCTGATTTTCTACGTACTGAACAGCTGGATGTTTTTGCAAAAACTGTTAATAAGTGTCCTATCCCTACGCTTACAGAATTGAGCAAAGCTTCGGTGACTGACTTCCTCAGAAGAAAATTATGGGTCATAAAATTACCGCAACAGCTACTCATGTTTGGGCGCCGATATTCCAGTCTGGATAACTTCAAAGAATGCAGTTAAGTATGCATAATGTAGACAATTTCTATTACATACAAGAGCTAAATTTTCGAAGAAATTCCATTGATACGCGCTTAAATTCTGGCCGGAAAAGTGAATGCAATGAAATTCTGAATTTGGATACGGTTATTTGAAGCTCAGTAACTTTACAAGAAATGATGATGAGAGCCCGTTTTAAGCACCGTTAGATAGAGCATGAAAACAGCATCGCGATGGTTACTACATATATTGTAAAGAAGAAGAATTGATGGGGAAAAGTTGCCCTGAAAAAGGCTTGGAAAATCGGCCATTCCTTTTGCACCAACCTAATAATAACGAAAGTGAATCAATAGAGATATCATTGCATTTGTCAATCTTGTCGATTTATGCGGACTTTGACCTGAGGAACTGGGAGTTGGTAGAAAACATAATGTGAGCCGGGTAGTATATGAAAGGAAGACAGCGATAATGAAAGGAGTGTAAAACTGGGGGCTGGAGTGCATCGCCAGGCCGAGCGGAGCCGGTATGCCGGCTACTCAGATAATCGCCGGGGGCAGGGGCCTTGATTTATGGGCAAGCGGGCACCGAAACCCCCCCCCCCCCCCCCGGGCAAACTTGATTTCTTGCGGTCGGCTAGCAGAACTTTGGAAAAATGTGCCCAATTTTTAGACGAATGCTCTGAAAGCAATCGAGGTTTTTCTAATCAGTTACGGCGCACTGGCCGCATTCCCGCGGACTTCCGGCGAGAATGCGCAAAATTATTGGGGGCCGCAGATCCTTTGTGGAGGACCGCGCAGCCCGTAGGTACCTTCCGCTGAAAGAAAATACCCCAAACTCGGGTAATCAATGACTTGCAGAAAATTTATTAACGTTAAAACGTATTGCTTCTTGCTGGAAGCACAGGGAAGTACCGCTTGCTGAAGGTTTGGCCAAAAAATCTTGCTGACCGCTTGCAAAAGCACGAGTTTCCGGACCGCCTGCCCTCGGCGATTATCTGAGTAGTTGTCAGGGCACGGTAATTATAGATTTAAGCTGGTCTTCGTTTAGGACAAAAAGTAGAGTGGTATCGAGAAATATGCTATGCAGGCATATAAATGAGTACTTAGACACATGCTTCTGAAAGAGTTTCTTTTAGAAAGGAAAGTCAATTGAATCCAAAGCCAAAACCATAAATTTGCATTGCATATGTATAATTTCATTCACAGAAGTATTATGTAAAAAGTGTTGAAAACTTTTGTGACGCAATCCTTTTTCAAAATTAGTTCTAATCCAGGAGGTCTAAAGCATATATTTTTATGAGCTTGCTTACATAAGTTTTGGTTCTTCTCATGGAACTTCCCTTTCCCGCTTAAAAGTTTACATATTGTGCTCGGAAGTCTTTATTGATGTTGACCGCGTGCTCATATATCATATCCTGACAGTATCATCATCGAAATCCTCACTCTCAAGACATCTTGAAAGTATACATGCCTACAGAATGCATGAAATAGTGACTTAGCAGTCATGCGAAATCGGCTTGAACGTAAACATAAGATAACTAGGATGGAAAATTCTGTAGAAATACAGAAAACTTTCCGCAAGGACGTTAGTGTCTAGATAATTTTCTTGAGAAGTGTCAGAGACATAGTCCGAAATGAGTAAATCAACACAATTACAAGGACGATACACAGTAACAAAAGTAGAAGACATTTCAAGGAAAAAATTGAAAAGAAGAAGTATTTAAAGTGTTTCAAAAAATCGAAGAAAGCTATAGTAAAGCAACAAAAGAAATATTGAGTTTTGATTCAAATGGTACAACACCAATAGGTTTTTCGGGTAGAATTGGTCCATTCTCCACATAGTTAACCGTCCTCCAAGCAAGAAACCGGTAGATCATCCCAGCAAGCCAGTGTGCAATTTTCTTCCACCACTGAAGTGTAGAAAACGAACAAAGTTTGTTTACACGACCCTGGGAGTGCATATCGCGAAATGATGTTGGATTCCGCAGGTGACTTGGGCTGTGACTTCACCATTGCGCGATCGACACGAAATGTTTGCGTATGCAACCGATAAACAATTGTAACAGCCCACTATGTCCGACGTCGTGATCTCACATGTTGTGTTTTGCCGCTTGGACCCCAACTTCCTATTATCCGCGATGATGTGCAGGTTTATAGCGCTTTTTAGGTTGGTTTAGCGACGATTTCATCTTGTCTTTGGAATATCATCACATTTTTGATGATCAGCGGTAAACCTGATGTCTGAATACCTTTTTTACTTCTCCATCACTGCAAGAGCATGACGCATGATTCATTGCTGGCGCGCATGTGCAAACATCCGATGGGAAAGAGCATCTAAATGCCTCTGCCTCTGAGGCGTTGGCGCATTGCAGTTGTCCGTTTGTGCGAGATCATTTGTCCTCGATACGCTGGTTTCGTTACTGCGGTTGCCATCCGTGACAAATGTTGTAGCGAAAATTGGTAGCTGTGGTAACATCGTTTAAATTAAAGACAGCCGTACGGAGTTCCAATCGTACGTGTGACCCGGTTGCAGGCGAACATCGATGCTTTCATTCTTTTCTCCTTGTTCTTTCGTAACCTTCGCTTCTACTGTAAATTCCCACTCGGGCAGTTGAAGACTGTGTACAACTTCGACGACTGAGGAAGCGCATAGTAGCGATAAAAAAGGCATGCAAAGAAAACAAAGTCCACATGTCAGGCAGCTACAGCTGGGTGTGCAAAACGTGTAGCCTGGGTGACCATTGGCGGTAGATGAAAGTTCTTCTATCTTATCGGGTGGTTTTGGTGGTGTCGCATGTATGTAACTGACAACTTCCTGCGAATCGACATCCGTGAACTGATTCTACGTAGAACTGGTGGTCTCGTGTGTAGAACTCGATCTTCTTTTGGCATTGGAAGTGAACTCCCGTTATTCTTACTGTGATCATTCTGACGGGGATGTTTTTGTTGTTTTTCATGACGAGGCATGTTTCTTGATTGAGCGGTTGTAACGTCACAATTGTCGCTTGATAAAAAGTGCAAGTCTTACGCTCGTTGGTTTTAATACAAGCTTCTTCGGAGGCCAAAAAGGACACTACTTCGGAGCAACACCTTGCCGATGCTGCAAAGTAGAGAATGGCGATAAGGATCTTTCTGCAATGTCCTTTATAAAGAAGCAAGCGTGCGCTATTTTGTTGGAAAATGGAGCGCATATCATTTTGAAGATGAATTGCACAATCTTCACTGGAAGCTTGGTCATGAAAAGTAGGATCTCTAGTGCCGACAAAATCAGACATGTTATGACTAAAAGAGCGAAGACTGAGCCGAAAATAGCAGCGGCTTGTGTTCATGTCAAGCAATCTGGATTATATAGTAGCTCCAAGCAAAGTGTACAATCAATTAGCCCACGTACTGGGTATGAGTAACATTTTATGTCTTTTTTTTTGATGAGCGCTCCGTATGCCCACGATGAAACCGATACGGCGTACGCAAAGGCAACAAGACTATTCGGGAAACGATGCTGGAGTTTCTTGAATTTTAGGTGAAATGACAGTAACCAGCAATGCAAACTTCTGTCGCATTTTTAGGAGTTGTGATGATCAAGTTGATTCCTCCTTTTGAGCAATGTGCTGAGTTCCTCTCTAGTATGGTAGTCGTGAGGTGACCGTGATACTGCTTTACCGTGACTCCCAAGCTCTCAAAAAAGGATACGTTTGAGGTCATGAAAACAGCACTTAGTGTTCCAAATGTGCACAAGTGGCATTGTCATCACATTTGTCTTCATTGCAAAAGTAGGACGACCCCGTATAGGGAAGTTCTGCTTCTCGCTGCAGTCCGTTTTCGTCGAGACAGAGATAATCCGTGGAGTCGAGGTGATCCTTGACGGCAATGTGAAGTTTGGCAACCAGAGTGATGTACCGTCGTATAATTCAAATTGATTGAGTCTTTCCAAGCGTTTTTCTTTGTCGCCTGCTGAAGAGGGTGAAAATGAGCAAAAAAAAGGTTTATTTTCAACTTACATGGAACAAATCATTGTTAAATTAGCTGGCATGCCCGGCTCCGCAAGCACCGTGCTTTGAACGGACTCAACAAGAAGATGAATTGAGGCAAAACTTTGAAAGCTCAACTAATCTGTGATTCGGTCTCTTCCGTCTCTCTTTAACACAACATATACCCCCTAGACCACAATTTTTTGAATTATCGCCCTTTCTCATCGTGAAATGAAATTGAGTTCCACCGCTATTATTTACACGAAAGTTGGAAGCAGTGGTATCGATTGATAAGAGTTTCTTCTTTTTCAAAATCGATAGATAAATGAAAGGAGTGAGCATTTCGTTGCGAAAAGTAGCCCACGGGGACAATATGTGATAATAGAATATTCGGAAAAAATTCCGAACCTTTCTAGGTATACTGCCTACCATGCGCCTGCCTACCAACACCTCTACATATCAGAAATGCGCGTTCTTGAGCTGAATCGGATGGTGGCAATGGTTTAGATCTCTTCAATCTGATGCGAGAATGTCCATGCTGCGATATCATCTAACTCAGCTAAACTTTGTGTTTTTCTTGCCTAAATTATAAGCAGTCTATATAAGATTAGTGTTTCGATGATATATGCAGGCCCAACGCGACTACGATCTCTTGTTCACTAAGTTTGCGTAATTTTTCAATCTCCAATTTGCCGGCAATTCTTTGCTCGAAGGTTAGAAAAGTGCAAGTTGTTACTCGTTTCACTTCATTTACTTTTTCAAAGCAATAGAAACATCTTTCCAAAACACCTACAAGGTTGGGGAGTGTGGTTAAACTTTAGATCTATACCTGAATGTGTCCATGGTCGGCTGTAAATATGATATTCACTTTGTCTTCGAGACCACTCGCTTTCATTCTTCTTAAGAAGTAATCAAAGAGAGTGTCGAGCTTTCGCATCATTTCCTTATAGTGACCATCGTGATAGCCATGCGTATGTAAACAATGATCAGGTTCGGCGATATACCTAAGACATGCGGGATATATTAGAAACTAGCTGGCTTACCCGGCTCCGCCGTATCCGGACCAAACTTGGCACACATACACTTCGGGCCCCGGCGGGTGTCACAGTCCACTTTTCGCTATCGATCGATGTCGATTTTACCGATTTTTATCGATTTTTTTGCAAAGTTTGAGCTACGGGGCTGGGAGTTGGCACAGGGGTGGGGGGGGGGGGGAAGTGAGCATGGGGATTCCGAATACAATATTAGTTTCCAGAATTATCGATTACTTTTATTGATCTTATCGATTTTTTGTAAATTTTGACATGCGAGGCTGGGATTTTGCACAGGGGGGTAATCGAGCATGCTGATTACGAACACAATATTAGTTTTCAGGATCGTCCATTACTTTTATCGATTTTATGGATTTTTTGAAAATTTGAGCTAGAGGGCTGGAATTTGGCACAGGGGTGTAATCGAGCATGCTGATCACCCCCCTTGGGATGATCAGCATGCTCGATTACCCCCCTGTGCCAACTCCCAGCCCCCTAGCTCAAACTTTGCAAAAAAATCGATAAAATCGATAAAAGTAATCGATAATCCTGAAAACCAATATTGTACTCGGAATCCCCATGCTCGATTACCCCCCTGTGCGAACTCCCAGCCCCGTAGCTCAAACTTTGCAAAAAAATCGATAAAATCGATAAAAGTAATCGATAATCCTGAAAACCAATATTGTATTCGGAATCCCCATGCTCGATTACCCCCCTGTGCCAACTCCCAGCCCCGTAGCTCAAACTTTGCAAAAAAATCGATAAAATCGATAAAAGTAATCGATAATCCTGAAAACCAATATTGTATTCGGAATCCCCATGCTCGATTACCCCCCTGTGCCAACTCCCAGCCCCGTAGGTGAACTCAGCAAAAAAATCGATAAAAATCGATAAAATCGATATCGATCGATGACGAAAAGTAGCCTATGACACCCGCCGGGGCCCGAAGTGTATGTGTGCCAAGTTTGGTCCGGATCGGTTCAGAAATGGAATTTTCTATTCGGAACATACGTACAGACATACATACAGACAGACAGACAGACAGACAGACAGACAGACATACATACATACAAACAGACATTCAGCTTTATATATAAGATTTGAGTAACCTTGAAGCTTACCAAGAAACGAAGTTGACGGGCGAATAAGCATCAGTAAACAGCCGAACTATTTCATCAGCATCACTCTTCCATTCCTCCAGAGGGCGAAAATCAACCCAATTCCTGCAATCTCAGTTCCATCCTTGATTTTCAGAAAAGCAACGCCAATTATTGCAGAGTATGCCAGACATATACAGGGTGTCCCAAAAAAATGTGAACACTGTTTGATTGTTAATAACTTCCTTGCTTTTATGTCTTTCGCCGAGCATAAGGTACCATTTTTTAGAGCGAGGTTCAACTTAGATCTGCAGTATGGCGCGAATCGTCGATCGCTCTTCATTACTGTAGGGTTACGGTAGGAACTTCGACAAGGATTTTAGGTTATTGGAGGCCATGTTCTGCCTCGGAACAAAACCAAACAAGCCAAAAACTCTTATACTAGGTAATGGCAACCGCTGATTTCGAATATGAAGTTTTCACTTTACTGCGATGCTTCTTTCCATGGTTATCCCAAGTAAACCGTAATAACCGACTTTCCAGCATTTGTCAGAAATGTGATTACAGCGTCAAAAAAGCTAAAAACACTTGTAAAAAGTTGTGCAGCAGAATCAAGGTGCCCGAAAACCCTAGTATACGATTTTACAGATTTTTTGGAAAAAATTTTGTCAAATGGCATATTTCACAGTGGATCCACATGCTGAAAGTTCATACCGTAATCCTACAGTAACGAAAAGCGATCGATGTTTCGCTCCATGCTATAAATCTAAGTTGAACCTTGCTCTACAGAATGGTGCCTTATGCTCGGCGAAAGACATGAAAGCAACGGAGTTATTAACGATCAAACAGTGTTCACATTTTTTTGGGACACCCTGTATTTTTTTGCAACTTTACTTTCATACTGAAGCGGTGACTGAAACGCCAAACTTATTCCACCCTCAAAACACTTATTCCACCCTCTTCCACCCATAACTTATTCCACCCTCAAAACAAAAAAACGAAATTGCGTGGTGTATGCCCGGTTTTTTAATGTAGACGCAGGCAAAATTGCTTGATTCGAGCGTTTATCAAGTCGCAAAACGGTTGACTCACTTAGGTGACGTGCGCCTGGTTCAGGTCCCATCACCATAGCATAGTCCTATATCGTTCTGGAGTGTACAAACTTTGTTTCCAAGAGATCATTCAACTCAACGGCAAAGCGCATCTTCTAGTTTGTTGAGAGTAAGGGTATGGAGCAGTGGCGTACCCAGGATTTTGGCGCGAGGGGGGGGGGGGCGCGACAAAAATTTTTTTCTAATGAAGGTGCGTGACATTAGCCACGCACTCCGAAAAAATTTTTGGGGTGCTTCTCAAAATTTTTGCGGGTCCCCAACCCTTAAAATCTGGAAAAAGGGGGCGTGGCGTTAGCCACGCCCCCGGAAAAAAATTTTTTTAAACAAGGATTTGTATTTTTAAAAATTTTTAAAAATTATTTTAATTATTTACAAGTAATGACAAGTCCTTTGCACATTTTTATAACACATTTAAGTAACTTTCAAAAATTTCGCGACCCATTCTCGGGGGGGGGGGCGCCCCCCCCCCCCGCCCCCCCCTCGGTACGCCACTGGTATGGAGGTATACAATCGTCTAACTGATTACAGTAGAGATAAGTTCAAAATACGAGGGAGGGGTTCGTTTTTATATCATATGTTTGTGGAATTTTAAGTGGGCTATTAAATGCATTAGTAATTATAAAGACTTTCAAATTTAAGCGGTGACTGAAACGCCAAACTTATTCCACCCTCTGAACACTTATTCCATTACTCCACCCTCTTCCACTCTTAACTTATTCCATCCTCAAAACAGTCGCTCTTGATGCAAAATTCCGATAAAATAGAAAGCCGATTGAGGATTGAAGGTTCTGAGAACTAAAAAGATCAGAGCTCTATTCTAGGTGTAAAGCCGCATCCTGTTTGCTTCGATTACGAGCAGATCTGGACTCATCATTGCTAAATTTGCCCAACCGAAAGGTCGCTCTCTTCTTCGCACAATAACTCCGCTAACGCCCCTACGTCAATACATTCCTCACGGCAAGGCGAGTGATTATGAAATTTTTTACAATCTGATTACCTTACAAGGACGCTTACTGTTTGAGTGGAATAGTGGGAGCCGATTCTCCCCCTACCTTCACTTTTGGGCTGGTACGGGGTGACCACCTCCGCTTCTGAAATAAAATTTTTTTTGCTGAACGATAAAGAAGATAAGCAAAACAAACGCAAAAAAGATTATTGAAAGCATATTTTTTGTGTATACGGCGGCATATATTTCAAAATAAACATGCTTAGTAAATGGCGTATTTGGAAGTAAAAGTCAGCGGGACTGAATGTAATCTATTGCGTAAATTTTACCATAACCTACTGCGAAGAAAGTAGGTCGATCCAGGGAATAACCGCCGAGAACCAGAATTTTGGATAATAAAGTAACGAAGAATTACGCGAAACCACTGTTATAAATCTGATGTATGAAGATGTCAGCAATTGCAACTTCACAGATTTTCGAGAGTAAACGGTGCTCTATTAGATGGTGAAAGAATGAAGTCGATTCGAGAGATGTTCGCCGAAAACTAGAATTCTTGGAAATTACGCCATTTTAGCTTGTTTAGTGACAGCTGACAGTTGAACTCATATAAATCTTGAATGTGAAACTGTGTGATGTTGCGACTTTAAAGATTTTGTAGAGTAAGATTAGCCTTATCAGAATACTTGCTGGCAAACCCGGCTCCGCCCGGCCCTGTCAATAATATATTCGTAATCAGCATGCTCACTTACCCCCCTGTGCCAACTCCCAGCCTCGTAGCTCGAACTTTTTGAAAAATAACAATAAAATCGATATCGATCGATGACGAAAAGTAGCCTTTGACACCCGCTCGGCCCCGAAGTGCATGTGTGCAAAGTTTGGTCCGGATCAGTTCAGAAATGGAATTTTTTATTCAGAACATACGTACAAACAGACATACATACATACTGACAGACAAACCGACATGCAGCTTTATATATAAGATTTAGGCTTAACGTTCGACATAAGGACAGTAATCGCCATTAGCTACATCTCTGCGCGAAAATCTTCTACTGACCATTTACGCGACCAGCTTTTTTAGCGTCGTTTTCGTAAACTATTAGGTCATTCGGAACCTTTTTTCTCTTTTTTGCGTCTTTGGTGTTGGTGCCATATTTTGAAAGATGCCGAAGGACTGATAGAGGTTGCTATATATGTATCCGTAGAGGAAGTCTTCTAATTTCTGAATATCCTGCCAAACTTGCAGAAAACTCTTTGTAGGAAGCTTATGCGGCTTTAAATTCGGCATATGAGAACGCGAATTTCGAATAATTGCATTTTCTAAGCTCAAACTTGTGAGGCAGTTGAAGATAATACCATTGTGCGCATGCATTTGCCACGGCCACGTTTTCGTTGAGATTGATGCAGGTTTGCTTCAAAAAGTTCAGATGTAGAGAAGTGAAAGCTAATGTTTTGCACTGTTCTGGATGGTATTTGTGCCATATAAGCGAGCATCCTAGAGGGTTTTTTCATAGCAAACTGCAAGTATAGCTGCATAAAATTATAAGTAGGCCTTAAGGTCTCATATAGCACCATTGGATCCCACCTTTGCTAAAGCTGCAATACTGAAAAATTCTAGCGATATGTACCTTACGAACTGTCGCACCCGCAAATTGAAGGCGCTTTGTTTCTGCTTTCGTTGTTCATAATTTGATGGAGCAATCCTTTTTTGACCTGCGTTGATATTTACAATAAATGGGCCAGCACGGCCATAAGAAGCGACATTGTGATAAATCAGTTAGAACCAGCGTTGAAGGCATGGCCATGAACCAACCGTCATTCCAAAAGGGTCATGGACTCAAATCAATGTAATCCTGCTGGTCTGCTCACTATGAACTTGCTAGGATGTGACCAAGCAGAGTAGTATAATATCGCTCTAAAGACCGTTTGTCAATATTTTAAAGCTGAGCAGACTTGCACGTATAACTTGGGAAGGTGCATTTTGGCCGATGATGCCGCCAAACCACATTCAAGAAAGGTGGCTCCCACAAAAGGAGTTGACTGCGCACCGAAGTTCGTTTACTTTTTGAACCCTTTAGACCTTCTTTTACCAATCACCGATTTTTCTAATCCCTCGGTGCCTATCGAAAAAAAATAGGGCGCAATAAAAATTACCATATTAAATCGCCTTTTCAGGCTTTGTTGATTCCTCTAAGATTATTTTGAGAGAGGAAAGCAAAAGAGCATTACAGTAGTGTTGCCAGAAATTTGGAAAGCACAGACGAAAAATCTTCCCGAAAGACCTAATATTAGACCTGTGATCACTTTTCTAGGCTAAACTCCATGTCTTGCACAACTACTTATCAGCTCATCCACAACTTTGCAAAAGGTGGTGATAAGCTGATAAGCCAACCCACTTTTGCATTCAAGCCAAGTGGATCCGTCTGACGCGCAAATTTTGAGGGTTTTACTCAACAAACCCGCTCTTGCTTTTACATGGTGAACATTCATGCTGGTAACATGTGCTATCAAATTTGGTCGAGGACATTAGCGGGAACGCGCCCTTTGAATTTCGTAACACTTACACATACACATACAAAAACAAACTATGCCCAAATTTTTTTCAAAAAGTCGGGTAATTAAACCGGCCGCCGAGCCGGGAAGACCTCATTTTTGCACTCTGACATGGTCCCTGCCGCCAGGGTTGTCTACAGGGAGAGCATCTACAACCCGAACCCAGCACCTTCTATATAGTGTATTGCCGTGCGCAATTGCTCGATTGAGTTCGGTCAAAGTGCATCGAGGTTCGTTGGCGGCCGACCATCCCTTTTGGCCGACCCGCCCCCTCCGTTGGAAACCCCGCCCACTCGGTCAAAATGGCCCGCACGCTCCTGTAGGACAAGATACATACACATACATGTACACCAGTGGCGTACCGAAGGGGGGGGGGGCGGGGGGGGGGGCGCGAAAATTTCGCGACCCGTTTTCGGGGGAGGGGGGGCGCGCGCCCCCCTCCCCCCGAGAACGGGTCGCGAAATTTTTGAAAGTTACTTACATGAGTTATAATAATGTGCAAGTAACTTGTTTATTTT